GATTTATGGGGCCCCTCACCAATTCCCTCTCCATCTGGTTATAGATACTATTGTGTCTTAATAGATGATTTCTCTCGCTTTAATTGGTTCTTCCCTTTAAAGTCTAAGTCAGATTTTTTTGACATTTTTGTCCAATTTCACCAATATGTCATTAATCAATTTGACTGTAAAATCAAATCCTTTCAATGTGATGGAGGAAAGGAATTTACCAAACATCGTTTTACTTCTTTTCTTCGTAAGTGTGATATTGTGCAACGCATAGCTTGTCCTTATACACATAATCAGAATGGTATTGCAGAGAGAAAACATCGCCACATCACAGAAACCAGTCTCACTATAATGTTTCATTCGGATGTACCTTTTCATCTTTGGGTTGAGTCCTTCTCCACGGCATGCTATCTCATCAACCAACTCCCATCACCCATTCTTGATGGCAAGACTCCTCATGAAATTCTGTATGGTAAAATTCCTTCTTATTCTTTACTTCGTACATTTAGTTGTCTTTGTTTTCCCTTTCTACGTAATTATATGCCCAATAAATTATTACCTCGCTCTATCCCTTGTGTTTTTATTGGCTATAGTCCTCTTCATAAGGGTTTTTGTTGCTTGGATAAGAAAACTAATCGGGTCTATGTGTCTCGCCATGTTCAATTTTTTGAGAATTATTTTCCTTATACTATCTCCACTATTCCTTCTTCGGTTGACACTGATTATGTCACTTTTATTGATACTTGTGATAGTTTTCTTCCTAGTGACAGTTCTTTACCCATAGGTGTGACTCCAGATTCTAGTTCGGCCCCCACTCCTTGTGTTCCTTGTGCTGACTCAAGTCCCATTATCATGCCTCCCATCACACTCTCTCAGCCTTCTTCGCTTGAACTAACCTTGGATGTCCCTCCACTTGCCTCTTCTTCTGCTATCCAACCGTCTACCTATACTCACCCCATGATCACCCGTGCTCGGGATGGTATTGTTAAGCCTCGCATTATTCATTCGTTATGTGCTTTCACTGCTCCCGTGGTTTCAAGTATATTTTGTAGTTAAAGAGCCTCGTGGCTTTAAGTCAGCTGTCAAACATCCAGCATGGCTCTTGGCAATGGATGATGAAATTGCCGCTCTCAAGCACAATAACACATGGCGATTAGTTCCTCGTCTAACTGATCATAAAGTTGTAGGTTGTAGATGGATTTTTAAGACCAAGCTTAATGTCGACGGATCAATTGAGCGTCACAAAGCTCGTCTAGTGGCGCAAGGTTTTTCTCAAAAGCATGGCATTGATTTTGAAGAAACTTTTAGTCCTGTTGTTCGACCTGCTTCTGTTCGCATTATTTTGTCCCATGCTGCTATGAATAATTGGCCTTTACGCCAACTTGACGTAAAAAATGCCTTCCTTCACGGGTTTCTCTCCGAGGAAGTCTATATGGAGCAACCCTCAGGCTACATTGATTCGCAATTCCCAACTCATGTCTATTGCTTACAACGTGCTCTTTATGGCCTTAAACAAGCTACTCGAGCATGGTTTCAACGTTTCAGTCGATTTTTACTTGGTATTGAGTTTATTGCTAGTCGTGTTCATTCCTCTCTCTTTGTCTATCATAGTCCCTCATGGAGTTATTTATCTTCTCATATATATCGATGATATGGTAATAACTAGAAGCAATTCTTCTATGTTGCGTTCTCTCATTGATCGACTGGCCAAAGAATTTTCCATGAGGATCTCGATGATCTACACTATTTTTTGGGGATTGAAGTTGTTAGAAATGACAAGGGTCTTTTTCTTAGCCAAGCTAAATATGCGCTTGATCTGTTGACTCGAGTAGAAATGGTCGATTGTAAGCCTATCTCAACCCTTTTTTTGGTGGGATCTCATCTAACCGATTCTGGTACTTCCTATTCAGATGCTACACAGTTTCGTTCTCTAGCTGGCGCATTACAATAATTGACTCTTACACGACTAGATTTATCGTACAGTGTTAACTCTATATGTCAATATATGCATGCTCCCATCGTTGATCATTTTAGAGCCTTGAAGCGTATTTTACGCTATGTCAAAGGAACCTACCATTATGGCCTGCAACTCTCACGGGATTCCTCTCAGACTTTGCTCGGCTATTCTGATGCCGATTGGGCCGGCTGTCCCGTCACTTGGCGTTCAACAACCAGATTTGTTGCTTATCTTGGCCACAACTTAATTTCATGGTGCTCTAAAAAGCAAACTACAATTGCACGCTCTAGTGCTGAAGCCGAGTACCGTGCTCTTGCCTTTATTGCTGTAGAACTTTCATGGACACTTCAACTTCTTCGAGAACTCCAGATCACCCTCCCTTCTCCTCCGAGACTCTTATGCGACAACAAAGTTCCATATTCATTGCTTCCAACCCGGTCACCAAATCTCACTCCAAACATATTGATATTGACTATTATTTTGTTCGAGAACTTGCTGCTCGAAGGGTTATTAGTCTCAGCTTTGTCCCCTCACACCTACAGCTGGCTGATGTTTTCACAAAAGCAGTGGCCAAATTACAGTTTTTATTGGATCGTGGCAAGTTGTGCGTTTTTCCTTTTCTAACACGCCGACTTTGAGGGGGGATATTAGAGGACAGCCTGACTTCAATGATTATGACCAAGATATCAGTGATTTTCCACAATTGTAGCATTTTGTTTCCTTGTATATTTGTTTCCATATTTGTAATTGTATAGCTACTATGTATCTTCTGTCTATAAATGAATATCTCCTCACAGCATATTGGCTTGAGGCATTTCCTTTACAATATTACACGTAAAATAAATTTTAAATAATATTTTTTTTTATAAAAAATATGAATTATATGTGTAATTAAATTAAATAATAAATTATGTTTTAAATAATTAATTATTATCTTAATTATTGTTAAATCTAATTATTGATCTATTCTACCATTGTTTGAGTACTTAATTTGTCATTTATCTAGGTATTTTTCGACCGCCTTAGACATCTGCACATTTAATTATATTATTGGCTTATTAATTTTTTATCAAATAAATTGATTAAATTATAAAATTATTGTCTAACTTATAATATAATTATATTATTACATACCAAAAATTCAAATACAACATATATTCGACCATGGAAACAATCTGGTAATTACATATAAACAATAATATACATAGATTAGATTTTACTTCCTCATATAGATATAGTCATAAATATAGGAAATTGTACGGGGATATACTATAGATAAATGAGTTCAAAGGAATTTGAAAATTGAATACTACTTATAAAAGAGTCCAAAAGAAGTTGAAAGTCAAATAGATATAGAGAACAAAAATTAGACGAAAGTATATATATGTGGGTTAATTGACTTTATTATAACAATTAGAAATAAAATAAAAAATAAAATTTTTTTTTGAATAGATACTAACATTTATAAATAGTATAGATATGGATATTGACATATAATATAAATAATTCTTAAAATCTTTCTAGTCACACTTGATCACATTATGATATATTAATTCTTCTCTAAGCAATGTCATATAGTTTTATATAGTTTAGTGTTTCAACTATAGCATGAGTTGCTATTTGTAAAACTTCTTTCATGTTTTTTAATTCAGAAAACAATCTAATCTATTGATATCCAAAACAAAAAAAGATCCTATTTTCAGAAAACTCTCAAAGTAAAATAATATATTTTCTTCATATTCTTGAACTCCGAGAATTTTAATTTTTCTCAATACAATAAGAAACAAAATATATCCTCACATAATTTGTATTATTCACATCGTACTTAATCAATCATTTTTTGTACATATACCCTATAATTAGTGGTAAAAGTTTTTTCAAATGATACATGGATGGATAGACTAACACGAAGTTGCCATTGAATTTTTTAGGGAGCGAAAATGCCTAGTTAAGGTAATTAGTAAACGAAAAGCTTCTAGTTAATATCTTTTTAAATAGGTGAATCTCAAGTGACCAACGCAAATAGATCAACTTAATTAGGACACATAATATTGCTAACATGCGTAAATAAACGATTATCCATAAACCATGAGTTATATATATATATTGGTGAAACTATACTAAAGCTACTTGGTAAATCACGAAAAAAATAACTTTTTTGTTTTACAGGTAAGTAAAAACAAAAAGACTCAAAAACAAATTTTAAAAAAAAAGATATGATATTATACCAATAGTTGGTCATTAGTACCCTTAGTCTAGATAAGTCTTTATATTCCGTATAGAATTGGACCATGCATGCATGCCTCCAAGATGGAATAGTCTCCATGCAGATAGAAACAGAGTCACCTCATTTACCATGATCGTCGGGGGCTTTGTCTGGGAAAAAACCGAAAGCCAGCAAATGTTTTTGCTTGTTTGGGCCAAAGTCACTTGGAGCATTTTAAGCGAGGCCTTAGTAAAATTCTATAAAATAATAATAATATATAAAATTCTAATTAATTGTCAATGTAAAATATTAATTGATTATATACCTTCCAAAAAAATGCTTATTACATTTTTATATTCCATTTTTTCAATATAAAAATAAGATGATATTGTTGACAGAAAGAATAATTTGAAACATAAATGGTGAATGATCAAGTATTTAAACTCAACACAGAAAGGTCAACCTTTCGGTCTCTGAACACTAGTTTTGTAGTCTGGGTTTGGGCTTTATAAAAGGTTTAGGCTTTGTTGTCCGGGTTGGGTCTTAATAAAAAGATGGGCCAAGGAAGAATCAAGCATTTAAACTCAAAACTAAGAAACTTAGGTCAATCATTCACGTGGGCTCCTTTACGTTTTTAGTCTCTTGAAGTCTAAGTATTAGCTTTGTACGGAGGATTTTGGGCTTGCTAGAAGAATTGGGCCACATAGAATTTTGGATTTAAACTCATCCAAATGACTAATATGGGCCTCCTAGACTTTTTAGCATCTAAATGCAATATTTGGGTTCCATAAAGGCACTGGACCACATAGCAATTTGGACTTCAACTCATCCAAATGACAAATATTGGGGTTACATAAAAGGATTGGACGGGGCCCTAATATACCTGGGGCTCAGTGATCCTATGCCTATGATCGGCTGTTCATATTCTGATGAGCTCCACCGGAACCTCTCACCTATAACCGACCACTCAGCGGTTCGCAATGCCTCACCTTCTCCTGCCATACTTTTCTTCACGTCGGTCCACCTCACCTCGACAGTAGGCTGACCACCCACATCTATAACCCTCACCATCTGTGCGGAATTATGATACATATGAGTTTGTAAACTTAATACCCATTTTGCTGATGTCCATAAGATAACAAAATCATTTTACTAGTTACATAGGAATTTCCAAGTCAAACCAGAATTGAAGTGCCGCGAGCAACGAACTTTTTTATTTTTGAATGAATTTTTACACATATTCGAGTTTTTTGAAATTTTTTTCGGAAGGGTCGAGCAAAAAAGATTGGTTAATAATTTTGGAGTTTCGGAACTTATCTAGATGAAATGTATTCTGTGTGGTTTCACGTAAAACTACTTTGGCTAAAGTTTTGATAGTGAATGCTAGGAGAAAAATGATACTCTCTGTGATTTCACGTAAATGATAAACCAGTAAAACTACTTTTGTTTCAATATCTATAATACAAAATAGAGCGGGGCTTCAATAAGCCGATCAGACGGTCTCCATTCATCCAAAGGCTTCAACATCCCAAGGCTCACAATATATCTCATTCAAATTCAAAAGTTCATATATTTCTCCCCTAAATCCATTTCATTCAACTTAACCCAACTCAATCATCACATCCAACTCAACTTAACCCCAATATAAAATTGGATATGAATATTCACATTTTTCACCCATAATTATTTTCAAAAAAATGACCCACTCAGTCACTTCATTGTCAAATAGCCTCAGTCAAGCGGTCATCTCACTCACTCTCTCTCTCTCTCTCTCTCTCTCTTCTTGCCAGCAATACCACCACCACCGCCGAAGTCAGCAACACCACCGCCCCAGCGACACCACCAGCAACACCACCGAAGTCATCTCTCACACACACACCCATCATACCCCCGCCTCTTCTCTGCCCTCTTCTACACACTCATCACCCACACACAAACAAACCCAGACCAATCACACACACGCCCAACACAGACCCACCACACACGAATCTCTCTCTCCTTTTCGTTCCTTTGCGTCTTCCTGCTTAATTCAAAAGGCACAGATAGAGAAGGAGAGGAGAAAGGCAGACAGAGAAGATCCTCTGTTTCAGGTACGCTTTCGATATTCAAATTTTTGTGTGTGTATGTATTATGCTTATATTTTTCGTTTGAGATAGGAGTTTTTGTTGAATGGGAGGTTGTCGTATATCCGTGTGTATATGCACGAATATCCTCTGTTTTTAGTCTTTGGGTTGCGAATTTGTGATTGAGGTTAGATCTAGGTGATGTAATTCTTATCTCTGTATGTTATTGAGATTTTCGTCAAATATCTCTTAGAGACCCATCTATCTCTCACTATTCTCAGCCTCGAAACCCCCTTCCTTAACCGTCACCAGCAATGCGAAAATCATCACTCTACACCAGACCACTGGTGACCAATGACCAGAATGAGACTAGCAACGACCACAACAAGAAGTATATCGAACCATCACTGCCACCACCAACTCCGACGATACACACTTCGCACACCCTCAACCATAGATTTGAAGCAGCAAACCCAACCCCCTTCTTGCACATAACCTGTTTGATGAAATGCAAGTGATTAGTTGCTACACCATTGAGCAGTGGAATGAGAAAAATGTGGATTTAATTGCTACACCATTGATCTGTTACTATTGCTTTAATTTTTTAGAAATATATTTTGATTTAATGGTTACTTATTGAAACTTTAGACGTCTTTGTTGTTTTCTCTTTGCATCCTTGATTTGTTTCCATGTTGGACGGTATTATTTGTGACGTATGACAGTCATTGCTTACCGAAGATAACTGCTGATGTGCTCCAATTACTGTTGGTTTTTGTATCACCTGCAGAGGAGACGTGCTTTTATATCAGATCTGCTCTCTGTGATCTCAAATGCTCATTACTACAAGAGAAGAACTTATGATACCACTTATAGCAAAGAATGTTGCTTGATTACTGGTGAGATAAACCCATAATCTGGAACCAATTCTCAATTTCTGTCACTTCAAATTTATGGCCTGGGCTTGTTTGTGGTCTGTGTTTTGATACCACTTATAGCAAAGAACCTTGTATTTGCTGGTTTATGTACATCACATTTCATGTTGAAGGGACTATGGAGTGACGCCAGTAAGAACAAGGCAATTGCTTCTAATCAAAAAGCTAAAAGAGAACCATAGTGCTATTCTCATTTCTAGCTTAATCACTAAATTACACAAGATCAAGGTCCCCTTTGGATTATTTTAGTGAAGTGTACTTCTATTTATAGGAAACAAATATGATGTGATTTTTAAGATTCCAGGTGCTATCGACCTTCACAAGCAGCAGAGGAAGAAGCCTAAGAAGTCTCTTCCCACGTGTGTACATGGAATGAGACTCCAAAATTGTACCCGTTTAATGACTTGGTGAAAATTGTACCATTTATATCTATGTAGTTTATGTACATAGATATAAATGGTGGGCATACATATAAATGTAGATGGTGAACCCTGAGATCTTTGACTGCAGTCACCAAAAGAGGACATAAGTCACCTATAATTGTTCTTTTTGATGTATGTGGGTAGGAGGGTACCCTTGCATTTCCAAACAGATCTCTGTGGGCCTGCTAATTGGTCAAATTGGTTCTGATACTAATGCATTTAGCCCTATTCTGCAATGAACATAACAATTATTAATTTACCAGAAAATTCAAACACATATATTTGAAGGATAGTGGAAAAATATAAAAATTAGATTCAATTCCTCCTTATGTTGGTTGTTCATCTTGGTGTCTCTTTTGGTGGATGATGATATTAAACACATGTGATAGTGTTTGTTTTTATTTCTTACTCTTAGAAGTGTTTTATTTCTCTCTTTTAGGGTGTGGTTATGAAACTAAAAAAAAATTATATACAGGTTTAAATGTTTACAAGACTGTTATTAGAGGGAATTTTTTAAATTTTTTTGATTTTATAGCCTTGACGTGGGATGAATGAAGTAAGAGTGAGGTAGACAACAAAAAAGTTTTATTACAAACTTACATAGTTATCCTCATCAATGTTCCAGATTTTCTTTTGCGCCTTTAAGGCCTCTGTCATGGTCTTTGATTTCATTAAATTCAACATCTATGTTAAAATAGTTCCTACATTCAAAAAATTCAACCATTTGAATGTGCTCAAACATACAGAGAAACATATTTTAGGGGTAAAAGCATTTTGAAGGCAAGTAGAATTTTTTTGGTACTTCAGTTTGATGATTTATGTCTCCGTTTCTTTTGGGTTTGGATTTTGTTGCACTTTAAGCTACTTCAAGGCGGTGGTTATGCTTATTGTCATTAATCTGTTGTACCAGACAAAGATACTCAGTTTTGTTTGTTAACTTTTGGTGCTTTTGGACCTTTGAAAGTACTTTTAGCTTTATCTGCTTGGAGTTGCCTGCTTATGTACCTGTCCAACCCCTTAGTCACCCACCCAATAACATCTCAATTCCAAATTAATTTTCGTTCTCTCAATTTCCTATGTAATAAATAGTTGATTCATGGGCTCAAACACTGAATCTAAAGTCCTAATTGATAATTATATTCTTTATTCTTTATTTTTAGTTTTGGGCATATGGATATGTGGGTGAATGCATTTTTTGAGAAAAATTTTAGTTTTTATGTTTTCAGGTGTTTACCCAAATCTGCAGGTATGCAAGATATTTGATGGTTTGATTGTAGCCCTTATAATGTTTCTATGCAATGGAATTTTTTTTTCAATTGGAGGGATTGTTTTTTGTATTGTTTGTTGTTGCAATAGGGGCATAGTAAAGGATTGATAAGCAGAACATCACTAGGTATTATTTGACTGTAAATGCTAATAGAATGCACTTTTTGTTATTTTTTAGTGGAGGTTCAAGGTTTTATTATGGATATAAATTATTGTGCGGGGATTCAACTTTTGTTGGCTATTTTGATTTTTTTTGCTTGAGTTCAATTTTAATAATTTAAGTTATAGTTTGTGGACCTTTATTTTCTCTATCTTTATAGGTTTTTTTTTTGGCCTTTGTTCTCCATTCACTTTGGTATGTCTTCACTGAATTGACTTTGATTGATATGAGTGTCTTCGTTGATGTAGTGTTGTTGATGGCTCCATATGTGCAACACTATTGCATACATTGTAATGTCAATTCATTACATTGTACATTGTAACCGTTGCTTAGTTTCATTAGTTCACCATTCAATTGAATGAATTCATAAGTCTTTGTTACATCCACTATGTTTTAAATTTGGTTGCTTTGGTTGTTTGCGTACATCCTACCTTTTAGATTTGTAGGCACCGTTATGGTCTTTTTGATTATGCCTACAATTCAAATCTGTATATATGCTAATGCCATTGGTTAAATCTATATATTATGCTTATACTCAAGGATCCCGAGAGTCAGGTACACCAGGAAAGTGAATTTTGTTATAATTTCAATAGTTTCAAACTTTCATGCTTTACTGGTTCTTTGTTCATGGGAAAGGAATGATACCCATACTTTGTGTTCCATTTTTCTGATTTGTTATGGGTTGTTATTTTGATCCTTGACCCAGGGCTCTTTGAATGATTGAATCTGCGACTGCGGCGATATTTATCTTTCCTCAATTATCTCTAATCTCAATTGGGTGTTTGCAAGTTTTAGTGCTTTCATACCTATTGTTTAAAATCCGTAATTTTTTTTCTCTGGCCAAATGTTTGTGGTGTTATTACAGGAAATTAATTTTTGTTTGCTTGCATTGCTTCATAGTGTTAGTCAACATAGTGATTTACCTTTTTGATATGTGTTAATTGTGTATATCCAATCCTTCTATCAAGTTGTTAGGAATTCAGAATAAAATAAAGTTATGATTCTTAGGTATTATGTGGATTGAATTATTGAATTGCTTACTATTCTAATAAACAAACCCTGACAGGAAGAGCGGAGTTATCTTAAAGAGATTCACTCACCAGTTGTTTGGAAACATATTTGATCTAAGGCTTATTGGGAGGATGAGGCAACCTTTTTTTTTTTTAAAGAAACTAGGTTTGAGCACATTTTTTATTTATTAAACCTCGAAATTACAACAAGCAAGACAAAAACTGTTTTAACAAAAAAATAGTCCCTATTTGAACAGAAAAAAA